TATATATTATATATACATACATATATAATATTATATATATTATATATATATACACGTACATACATATGCATACGTGTATGAATATCCACGTGCGCATATGTATGCGGACTGTCGTGGAATGAGATAGTATCGATTATTAACAAAGCAGAACTTTATTTCTGTTTTTTTTTCCGAGCAAATGCGTGCGAACCCTAAAAGCCCGCCGACTTTTCGTTCTCACCGCCAGATTCAATCGCACTCCATTCCGCGACATCCTGTATACATGATCAGATATAGTAGAAACTTCGATTATACCAAAGGCTATTTGACCAAACGTCTGATAATTCGAATAGTACAAGGAAAATGTGCGACTGTCCGAACAGACCGTTTTTTCAAAAGCAACCGCTCGGATAATCGTCGAATATTTCTTACCGTTCGAATGATCAAATATTCGGTTAAATGATAATCAAATATAATCGAACTTTTGTTGCATTATATCTTAATTGTACTTTTATATTTTCCGATAGGACAGTTCACAAATTCGTTGAAAATACGACCTATGCTATCGGGAACTTTTCTATAAGATTCAACAGCTTGATTTATCATTGACATTTTCTCTCGAATAGTTTCTGTCCATTTTTATTTGATTCCGATTATTTCTTTTACTCCGTATCTATGGCTCTCTGTAATCCTCTGTAATAAACATCATTTACATTTATATGATTATTATTTATGCGATTTACATGAAACAATCAATTTAATTTGATCCTTTTTTTTTTAATGTAGTACAAGTAATGTTTAGTTACCGAAAATGAGGGCCCGTACTTTCTGAATCTTACGACCGGCTCCCGAATGCACTTGTCAACCTGTGTGTTGTGATTAAAGTTTCATTATATATTCGTACATAAGAAAAGTAAGACAAGTGTACGTGTGAATCCGAACCAACCAACACCCCCCGAGGAAAGACAACGCCTAGATCCGAACATAACCGCGTAACCATATGGATGTAGGATTTATCGAGAATACGGTATTGTATCGTAGTCTTTTTAGTTATATCATATCACATGCGATTGACATCATCATCATTATCATTGTCACACAGCTGTTGGTCATCACACCCCGTGCTTTTTACCGCGGTCAGCTTAGAGGAACTATTTCATTGGAGTTAGTCGTATGAGGACAAATGGTACAAACAGGCGGGAGGCCGATACTCTCTCGTTCGGCAGTGTGTGCTTTTTCTTTACTTATGGCTGTCTCGAGCAGGAAACGCGATTTAATGCAAGAGAACATGAGACTGAGACGACTGTCGCAGAGCAGAGTCAGGCGAAATGCAATCGAATCTTCGATCAGCTGAAGTAAAATCAATCAAGCATGATTATCGAAAGTTAACAGATGGTCGCGACTTTAATCGAATTACGGAATACTTGCATCAATATTGCAAGCCATCATCGTTTTTGGTGAAGAAATGAACGATCACACCGCCGAACACTGCTATCGAATCGACATTGACAAGTTTTAAAATTTAATATCATGGTTTGAAGTAATACTTTTTTCTTTAGACTGCTAATGTTACACGAAAAACATAATGAACGTACGTTGCACAATATATCGATGTTACTATGCTAGAGCTACTACTGATACGTCGCTTATGCTGCCATACGTCAATATAATACTTTTCTTCTTTTGTTGTCGAATCATTCACCGAGTTGGCGAGCAAGATTTTAAGTCAAGCTTCAAGGGTGGTATTCATAGAAAATATATAATCGTAAAGTATATTTTTTTATCTCTAACAGCAGATAATAGTCTACTGTACGAATTTGAACTCATGAATATTATTACTGAATTAAATTTCATAAATTACCGTTTGAATAATCATAATAATTATTAGCTGATCATGGAGTGACATTCAGCCATTCAGTCTTTTGTTTATTACATATTAATCATCATCGATTCACAGTAAATAAGCTTCAAGTTATAATTAATTGAATTTGCTTTGACATCTGCCAAACTGTCATTTAATTATAAATACTGTTATTCATAATATGGTAATATTATAATTGATTATACATAAACAAGTTATGTAAAAGCAAATATCAACATAATAAAATGGAAAGATACAGTAAATATTTATTGTATACCTAATTACCTAGTTATTCCATTTAAATAAAAAAATTAAAATTGGATCGTTTATCAATTAGTTGATATAATTTACATCATTTATATATCTACATTTCTTAAATCAAAGAATATTTAAGGCTTATAAGTTTCTAAAAAAAATAAAATAATAAATGATAGATAACTAGAATTTGGCGAAATTAAAATCCTACATCAAATACTATGAATACTATGAAGACTATGAATACAACCCTAAACTTCATGGATGTCGACAGATTATTGAATTTATAGGATTTTAAATTGAAATGCTGAAATTCAGAGAATGCAATTCACATAACATGGCGATTGTAGACATAATGTCGACATAGCATAGTATCGGCTATATTTGTGGCCGAGGTATAGCAGCAAGCACCGGTAGAGGTCTGGTAGGTAAGGTACGTAAGACAGAGTGACAGATAAAGTATCAGAGAAACTTTCTAGATAAATGAAAGAGGCAGAGAAAAACAGAGACAGGCTCTCGATGGAAAAAATATTACGGTCCCCGATATGTAGAGAAATACGCAGAAAAATATCGTATATTTATTGAAAATATATGTGTGATTGCTCGTCGCTACATAAATAATGAATTCTCTAGCGAATTAATTATATGTATTAAATGTATGATTTATGATTATTTCTTTCAGAACTCTCTCTTTTGTTGAATTCTGTTTCTAAAATTAAACGACCCTCGCGAAATTTTTATTTTATTTGATGTAAACAGAATAATAACATCAATAAAGTAACCAATAAAGAAACGACATTTTATTTAATAAAATATATTTTTCTATTTATAATTAATCTTTTCGTATGTAAGATAAAAACCGAATAAAATTAAGAACCAAGTGACACCTTTTCGTGCACAAAAGCTTAACTTTTAGAAATATTCTTTAACAATAGTTTATTAAAAGTGATATAAAGTAATCTGAAAAAAGTATTAAATAATATATAATAATAAATGTATTGAGATCGAAATGCGTTGTATAACATTTGTTTCGAACGCTATATACAATGAAAGAGAAATCGGTGTCAAAAAGGTGTCGTGTTTCGCACACAGAAACAGCGTGAGAAGATCTATCTCGATCGGCTCTCCGACGAAACGGCTTCGCGAATAAAACGGAAGCGACGAGAAGGGAAAACGAAGAAATAGATGGAGAATATAACAGAACGACAGAATGGGATAAAAAATGATACAGATAACAGAAAGAGAGAAAAAGAAAGAGAAAAGTGAAAGAGACAGAGAGAGAGAGAGAAAGAGAAAGAGAGAGGTTTACTGTTACTTTGGTATTACTCTGTACTTGCATGCACAACCACGTACACTGTCCAGTCTACGGAGCAACCAGATACCCACTTTCGCCATCTGCGCTTGGATGCCCTTGGCGACCAGTGCTTTCACAGCACCCTCTGCCGCCATCGGTGACTCGAAGTCTACAAATCCGTAACCTGCAACACAATCACGACGGTATAAACCCCCCGCTGATAATTTTTTCATGCGTAAGAAAGCGCAAAAAGAATATTTTTGTCTATCGAACGCATTTATCTAAATCACTATATGAAAACGTCACGTATTCGTGTGACGCCAATTGGAAAAGTTACAAGATAAACGTATCAAAACAACAAATTTCGCTGAATTAAGTCCAGAAAGTTAAAAAATAATAAGGAATAAGAGAGTGCAATTAATTACCTTTACATTTGTTTGTATTTTTGTCTAAAATCGCCTTGGTGGAAGTTATAGTTCCGTACCTGCAAAAATATTGAGTTTTGGTCTGACGTATTTGCATTAATTTAATCGCTATACTTATAGCTATTTCAAAATATGCAATTTTAAAAAGTATTATTAAATAAATTATTGATGTAATTATTAGTAAGTTACAGTTCTACAAACTTCTATCTATAATCAAGTACATTATGATAAATAACATCAATTTACATTCGATGTTAGATAGCTCAATGTCAGAGCAATCACTTGTCGAGCAAAAGTTCCGGGTTCGATTCCCGAATTGCTACCTGGCATACATAACTGCACTAAGAACTTTAAGTGAAAGTTTTGAGTCGGAGCGCCACATAAATATAAAGAGGAATTCATAACATTTATGTAATTTATCACGATAGACATCTACGATCATGTGTATAACGTTACTTACTGAGAACACATGTTAACGAGGTCTTTATCAGTCGTATTCTGGTTGAGGCCACGGATGTATAGATTCGTTTTAGACAGCTGCTCCGCTTGTTGACCCTGCATGGCATTGTTGCTGAGATTCGTGCTCATCGTCCCGCTTTGACTGCCGGTAGCACTACTGGAGCTGCTATTAGTGTTTGCCGGGGATGAAGCCGTAGGTACCCGCTGTCCACCGTACTGCAAGCACCATCAATACTGTGCGATAACTGAAGATGTTCGAAAGGAGCCAAGGACAATTGATTTTATACAGAGTCTATCGTTTTTTACTACGGACTATTGATCGATGGAACATGTATTATCTCGAACTTGTGATGCAAGCAAAGTCACGTATCTTCTAAATGAAGTTAGCATCTCGCTTTGTTATAACATCAATCAATAGGGTACGATTACGAGTAACAAAAATGTGAAATTAATATTCCATATATTTTTCACATTTAATCATTCAGTTTGAAACGTAGCGGAAACTTTAAAAAATTCTTTAAGTACGAGCAAGAATTCTATGTATTGAAAATAAAAGTGCTAATTTTTCACATACCAACGATGTTACGCGAATTTGTAAATGACTTATATTCCCTTTCTCAATCCTCGTTTATGGGAGTTTATAAATATCGAACGCAGAGCATTAAACGCTTATCAAAGTGACCTATCTCCTCGTCCCAGCTTTCGCGCGGCGCTTGTCGCGCGACGGTCTCGTGTCTGTTTACCGTCACGCCGGGACAAAGTCAACAGGCTGTACAGAGCTTGTGCGAGGAAACACGTTGGCGAATGGCGACTTACCGTCGCGTGCTGCGCGTACGTGGCGGTGACGAAGGGATTCGCGGATGCCGGTAGCTGCTGAGGACCGCCGCCGACCGCGGCGGCCGCCACTGCCGCCGCCGCCGCGCTCGGGTAGCGCGTGTAAGGCGGATACGCGGCTGCCGCTGCTGCGGCCACGTGAGACGGCGCCGTGCTCCAGGCGGCCGCACCGCCTCCGCCGCCGCCGCCGCCGCTCGCGCGGTACTGCACCGGATTACTGCCGCGCGGCCCGCCGCCCGTGTTGCCCTTCAATCCGTGGCCGCCGCCACCGCCGCCGCCGCCACCGCCACCGCCGCCACCCGCGCTGGCTGCGGGTCCCACGCCGACGCCGCCTGCATTAGCGGCGCCGCCGCCGCCGCTACCACCGCCGCCGCCTCCACCGCCGCCGCCGGCGTTACCGTTGTTGGCGCCCACGTACGTCGGCCTCGGTCCATTCGTATTCTGTAAATAAAATACAACGTCTCAGTTAAACGGGACTCTTTCCTCTTATTACATTCAATTGTTCGTTATCAATTTATTATGTATTATACATATGGCTTTTTTTGATAACACTTTTTGTGTATTTAAGATATTAAAAATGTGTATTTATAGTCACGAAGAGTTATTACATACAAGAATATGCGGAATAATTCAAGAAATGAGTGCGATTAAAAAATTTCAATTAACAATATCTCTTTTTTTTTATCATTCATTCACGAATTGTATGTAAAAATATACAAAAAATTACTTAAAGTTATTTTCAGAGCAGAGTATTATAGTAGTAAAATAGACAAGTTAGTTAAACAAAATGGCTTTCTAACAATGGGTGATGATTGAAGGAGGAAAGATAAACGTAATCTATATTATCAGTTCTGGTGCAATGCCGTCGTTCAAAATGACTCGTTAATAACGCCAAGTACGTCAGCGGGCTTATCAATGAATTCTCTTGTTTGAGGTTCAACAGTTGGACAATGATGCGCTCTTATCGTGTAATAAAGTCGATCGGTCATCATTACCACGTTAATTTATCTCTTAGAAATAAAGAAGGACAAATCCTCAATTTAGCATTCTTAAAATAAATGTCGCTGCTTTCATGACCAATTATCAGGAGCAATAATCCAACGAGCGTACATACAAATGTATTATGTTCTTGATAATAAAATAAGATACAAAAAATAATTTACAAAAATAACAGGGACGCTTGATATTCATTTAAAACTGCTGTAAAGGTAAGTTGTGGAACTTGTTGAATTTTTCCTTCCATTAAAAAAATAAAATGCTTAAATCAAAATATTTCTCGATTGTTCAAATATAAATCTGATTTTTAAAAAAAGAGTGTAAAATTTAAAAAAAACTCAAAATTCATCATCGTAAATATGACGAACACAAAAAAAGCAATTTGCAATTTGCTTTTCTCTCCAGACGTCATAATCCATCGCGGCTACAGTGACCGGACCTTTAATATCGATGCAACCGTTGCGTCAGTCGTCTATCGATTTTCTCAAGCGAAACGGCGTACTATTTTAGAAAGCGATCGCGTTTCGCCGGCCCCGTAGTTTCCCCGCACACGTCGGCCGTACACGTCGATAAGAAGAGAGAAAGAGAGAGAGAGAGAGAGAGACTCAGCTCGTTATCGTTTATCAGTGACCTCGCGCGGTCACGCCTTTCCGATAACGAGAAAGAACGGCCGCTACCTCGCGCCAGTCTCTTCGTCTTCGAATGCTTCATTCCCGCGACCGGTGCATCGGGATGCACCTTTCTAACAGCATGTCAGGAGCGCCCGTATCGATCGGCGTATCCCATCGACGTCGCCACTCGTCACTTATCGCGCAACTTTCCTATTTTCAACGTTTACACACACGCGCGCGTGTATATATCTTCGCGGCTGAAAAATTTTATCGAAACGAGAGATCTACGTGAAATCGACGAAAGAAAAAATATGTTATCATTTCATTCCTCCGAAGTCCACTTCACAAATAGCTCTGCGTCATCAATCGCGCTCGGAGATCGCGCGGTGTACCGCGCGATGTTTTCGCGGAAGAACGATCGGCTCGCTGAACCGGCCGAAGAATCCGCGGTTCAAAGTGCGCTCGGCAAGGGACACCCTGTGTACAGTTAGCTATAGATACAACTCGTGACGCATCGGCGGAGAGAGATATAAAATCAGACAGTGGGATGATTCGACCGCGTGGTAAGATCATCAACGGTCGCACGGCATGATGACGCGGCCCTTAGCGACAACGAAACGCACGATGTTGTGTGATCCGGCCACAGAGAAAGAGAGAGACTGGCCGACCGACCGACCGACCGGATGTCACTTCCTGCTCACCCCGTCTGTCCCCCGCATCGCGCTGTAACGCTGTAATTCTCTGTTCGTTCACTCTTTCGTCTTCGTCTCCAAATTCTTTCCGAGCTCGCGTTTTCATCAACCGGCAGACGAAACACCGCTCCACGTTGCGGTATCCCGACGTCAAGACATATGAGAATCGAAAAATCATGTGATTCTTTTTCTCGCGCCTAAAGACGTATCTTGAAGATAAATCAGTATTTCCCGGAACGATGTATGTACTACGTGTCGTAGCAAAATTCGGGTCGTTTGCTGACCTTGCTCCTCCTTATCGCATTTGACGTGAGCAACCAGATCCGAGGTATGCCGGGGACTCTTGTTCTAACGGCATGCACGCCGCTTACCCATATCGTTTTCATTTTATAATACATCGTTTATGCCGCGAGAGAGATGCGAGAAGTGAGCGAGCATTTTTATCACATCGGCCGCGCATTATCGCGGCGCGGCCGCTAATTGGACGCGCTCCGCGAACGTGTATCTCGCGCTTTCTTCTAAGGACGACGAGAGGGATGGATCCAGGATGTGCGCCACATACTGGAGAAATATACTGACATAGTGCGCGTGCGATCTCTCGCCTACTCTCGGACGTGTCACGCTCTATTAGCGGACGGACACGCGCCCGCGATAGCCCGGAATGTGTGTGCGTTTTCGGTCTTCTTTTACTATTATTTTAGAGAAATTTCCGCCGCAAAGATTTCGTGTCGCACGGCACAGCCGATTTGGATTCTTCGCGTCAACAGATTTGTGTTATAATATACACATAATGAATTTGCATACATATTATATGTATACATATATATAAAATATGTATATAAAATATGTATATGTAAATATATAAAATCTAAATTATGTATGTGTATTTTTAATTAAAAGATATATATTCATAATTAATAGACAATTTTTAATAATTTCTAAGCATTCTATTTTTTAATGAAAATATCATTATTGAATTCTAACAATTTTACGCGCGTATCATTTCACCGATATTTTAATAATTATTGCTCATAACGTTATTAAAATAGTATTCGCTATTGTAATTCATTTCTAGAAGATACCGTTCCCCAACGCAAAGATCAATCTTGTATACATCGCGAAGGGATCGCGGACACCCGATGAGTCGTGGTCGCGCGTATTCTTCCAAGGTGAAGAAACGGTATGCGCGGTATGTGCACACTCGCGCGTACACATGACGCGAGAGCGAGGAGGAACTGTTTCGCGCGCAGGCAGGCAGATGCACGAGTAGTGGCTGCAGTCGTATAAACTGCATTTTTCCGCGTTTTTAGCTTAGCGTCCATTCGAGAGCAACTCATTCCGGAATAAACAAAGCAAAAGAACAAAACTGCGAGAGCCGTGAACACGTTAAAACGTTTAAGCGACCAAAGGATCGTTTAAAGAAATTCAATTTGCAGTCAGCGGACCGAATCTCCTCCTTAATTCAAAGCCTTAATTCAAAGTTTCGAGAAAGCCAAAAGATAAAAATCAGGCTGCATCGAACGATGAAATAAAACGGAGAAAATAAAATCGCACCAAAATATTATAAATTAATTTGTGAATTTATCATATTTATCTTCCGAGTTTAATTGACGTAGACGCGACGTTCGCGACGTCCAAGTTAATTCCCCGAGAGACAGTTAAGGAGACAAAAGTGGGCTGCATCTCGCGCGTCAGGCACTCTCGCAAATGGCTGTAATTCACCGCCGTTTACACACGTACGAACGTCCGTCCTCGAAGGCGGCGGCGCGGCGCGCCAAGCCGAGGCTTCGTAATCGAGTCGAGTCGAGGCGAGGCGAGAGTGCCGCGCCGATGCATCCGTCGACAGCGAGGAGCGGCGTGCACCGCGGGAAGGAAAGCTATGCACACGTTGCCCGCGTTTCCCGAACGGCACGTACCGTCTACGTGAGCGGTGGCGTGAATGCGCGCGCGGCTGCTGCATTGGCCGCATGCATGCGGCTCGCAAAAGGACGAGGCGAGAACGCGACGCGTAACACGGACGCACGATGCAAGCGGATGCAACGTCGGCGATCGATCGGGAAGTCGGACGGTATCGATAACAATTAATCCCTCTACAGATTCTTAAATATATATATAATTCTCTCCATAGCAGTTAAACGTCTATAAAATCTTTCTACGAAAGCATCACTATCATTGAAACATATAACAAGTTGTTAGTATCTGTATATTTCAAACTTTTTTAATTAATAAAAATGGAAAGACTAAGAAATCTTCTTGCATAAAATTTATAGCGCATCTACTCGTTTGTTACAATTTGTTGCAAGAAATACAAGGTATCCTACATAAAAAAAAAGACGAAAAAATTATCAGTCTAGTAAAATCAACACGAATAAATTTTGCGTGTTTATACAATACTTATAAATTATATTAGCGAGTTCGGTTAATTTGTCATCATTCGACAAAAAAAAATCATCGACTAAAAATGCATTACCGGTAATTTGTATGCAATATTTTAATATTGCGAGATTTTGATTTAGAATTTAGATTTCAACATATCATTGCGATTGTACGCAATTAAGGATCAATACGTTCACCATCTGTTTAAGTCAGCGGTACCTTTCTAAGAAGTTTAAAAAAGCTTCTCGTCTGAGAAAGGGAAAACGAGGAAATAAATAGGGACGTGACCGGCTGACTGCCTGGGTGTCTCGGATTTGACACCCTTTATCCGAGTTTAGGCTGGCGGCGAGTATTATTAGCCGGCGGTCGCATGCTTCCGTCTTCTTATAGCGCAGGGGACAATGCTGACGAGAGATATATGGGTAATGTGAAGAATATATGCTTTCGTCGAATTTTGCGCGGTAGCTGAAACCGATGTGATTACGAGTTCGGATTTCAGTGATACATCGAGGATCAAGGTCGCTACAAACAATTTAGAAAGATTTTTCAAGACTGTCATATTGCACGCGATCGCATAAATTCGCGACCTTAATTTTAACAATTCGACTTTTGAGAAAACATCAAGACATTTCCAAATTGATAATAAGCTATCAAAGAGCAAATTTTTACAAGAAGTATATTTTAGGTTTACAAATTGTATATCTTTCTCAAAATTTTAATAAAGTTTGATAGAACCTTTTATATAAATTTTAAAAAAACTATTATA